TATAGTTTTGTACCCATTCTGACTTTTCTATATTTTTGTACTCATTCTGACTTTTCTATAGTTTTCTACTCATTCTGACTTTTTTATAGTTTTGTACTTATTTTGAATTTTCTATATTTTGATTTTCTATAGTTTTGTTCTTATTTTGACTTTTCTATATTTTGACTATTCTATAGTTTTGTACCCATTCTGACTTTTCTATAGTTTTGTACCCATTCTGACTTTTCTATAGTTTTGTACTCATTCTAACTTTTCTATAGTTTTGTACCCATTTTGACTTTTCTATAGTTTTGTACTCAATCTGACTTTTCTATAGTTTTGTACCCATTCTGACTTTTCTATAGTTTTGTACTAATTTTGACTATTCTATAGTTTTGTACCCATTCTGACTTTTCTATAGTTTTGTACCAATTCTGACTTTTCTATAGTTTGGTGCCCATTCTGACTTTTCCGTTTAATACATTTGGTCTTACTATTGCTACTTCCCTTCTTGACCGTAGTTGTGTGCTTAGGCCCTTTCTGATTATTATTTTTAGATTTTGTCTGAATTAAATCTTGAATTACTCTCTAATGAAAAATGTTGTATTAATATTTGAGAGGGGGCGGGGTATAAAGTTAGCCCGTGGATTTCAATTCCTTTTTAGTTTAAACATATTTTATCGCCAAACAAAATGCAAAAGGATTTGGCACAAGTTACAAAAACATTATTAACGCCCTAAACTCGGATTATAGCGTGCGCAAGGTTCGTAATGTGGGAGGCAATCGGAGTACCTAGAGAAACCCACGTGATCGGTTAGATGACCGCATTTTACCTTTCCAAGGTCCAATCGGGGAATCGAACCCCGGTTGTTCTGGTGAAGAACGAATGCATTAACCACTGCGCCACCCGACCTTACACTCTGATAGATATCCAGTATTATTTAACGTCTTACGGGGTTTAATTATATCATCGGCAAAACGCCACCAAGAATGATGGTATGGCACTTTTGGCAGTGTTTATCTAAACTACAAAATTTCAAACACTACTCCTTGATACACATCAGCAGTGTCCTTATAACTTCGTCATAGTAATTGATTCTCATGTCCCTGTGATTGTACATGGGTATCCTCCAGTATACCTACCAAGACTAACGTTGTTCGTTTCTGTTGTGTACATTGCTAGCTACTACAATTCGAGACTACACCGGAGGAAATAGCGTTGAGGACATGCTTGAACACCAGGACAGCTTAGATGACGGAAGTAACGAAATCCCTTCATTGCCAGTAGACAACATTGACGTCGAGATGATGAACACAACTTACATTCCCGACATGCAATGTTTTGAGTATTTCTCGTGTATATCGAATGTAGAGGAGATTGTCCCGCCAGGATCCCTAAAGAAAGGCTACTACATAACCCCAGCGTTCATGAAGAAACAATGCAGGTTAAGTGACTATTCAAATTTTCACTTCTGTTCTCTTCCTTGAATTCTTCCGTTATTTGGAGAACCAGCGTGCTTGAATACATAGCTGTGGTTGTGTAGCGCGCTAGGATACGTAGTTGTGGTTGTGTAGCGCGCTAGGATACGTAGCTGTGGTTGTGTAGCGCGCTAGGATACGTAGTTGTGGTTGTGTAGCGCGCTAGGATACGAAGCTGTGGTTGTGTAGCGTGCTTGGATACGTAGCTGTGGTTGCGTAGCGTGCGTGAATACGCTGCTGTAGTTGCTTAGCGTGCTTGAATACGCAGCTGTAGTTGCGTAGCGTGCTTGAATACGTAGCTGTGGTTGTGTAGCGTGCTAGAATACGTAGTTGTGGTTGCGTAGCGCGCTAGGATACGTAGCTGTACTGGTTGTGTGGCGTGCTTGAATACGTAGCTGTGGTTGTGTATCGTGCTTGAATACGTAGCTGTTGTTGTGTAGCGGTTGGAAACAAAGCTGTTGTTGTGTAGCGTTTGGATACATAGCTGTAGTTGTGTAGCGTTTGAATACATAGCTGTAGTTGTATAGCGTTTGGATACATAGCTGTAGTTGTGTAGCGTTTGGATACATAGCTGTAGTTGTGTAGCTTTTGGATACATAGCTGTAGTTGTGTAGCCTGCTTGGCGGTGTTCTGATTGTTATGGGTCTGTGTTTCCATTTATAATGCCATTCCACCCGAACACTACAGCATTGAAACACCCAAACCATATCATACCCTACACTAGATTTTCTACTGAGCAATACATGTCTTGTTCAAAGACACAATCAAATCCCACGGCCTCCGGGTATCGAGCCTATAACTATGTGGACAAAAGACTAACGCACTACCAACTGTGGTGTCGATTGTTTTGATTTTTTGATTTTATTTTGCAAATAGTTGTGTCAGTAAACAATAAAAATATGCGTTTTAATCAGATTGTTTTGAAACGTGTTTGAAAATACAGACTGTAGTTGTGGACAACTAAGGATTGAATATTTCTTTGGCCGATTTTAATGGGTAATGAATTGAGTTGGTCTTGAGTAAAAAAAATAATGAACAGCGAAAGCAAGATTCAATTCATATATTTAAAAAAACTCATGCTATTTTGATAATTGAAATTCCACATACCTGTAGTTTGATCCTGCTTCTGGAGCTTGCACAAGTCTACGTATTGACACAGTGTGAAACATATAGTCCATTATTGGAGAACTTTCATACAGTGATGTAGTGTAAGCTCATATACAATACAGTAAAGTTACCACATAAAAGAATACAAAAACAGATTCTAAATGTCATAACTTTATTTGATTAAAACGTCAGTTTTAATAACATAATTTTACCGCGTCATCGCGGAAGGATAGCGTCTAGACGCGTTAATTGGGCTATGCATTCATACGCAGAGGGAAGTTAATTTTGCAAAGGAAACATCAACACATGTGTATGTTAAATACCAACACATTCCGCTCTGTATGTTTTACCATTGAAATATGAAGGTTTATTGTCTAAACACATTTTACATTTTTTTTAAACTAGTACGATGAAACAACTTAATCTATTTTATTTATTTATTTCCATATTTAACTGAACAATCACAGAATAGTTTTGACTGTCAAATTAACCTCAGCGATCTCGATCGGTGCCAATCCAACAATATAACGTTTCTGGTAGACTGGATAACCCGCTCTTAGATACTTGTACATTATGTGATACTCGTGATATTGAGGATGAGTTTCACTTCATCCTTAAGTGTCCTATTTATGCAGATTTACGGGTGAGATACCCGAAGCCATATTATTTTATTCGTCCCAGTGTATTTTAACATGTTCAATTGCTCAGTGGTAATAATGTAAAAGATTTGTGTAATCTTGGCAAATATATAAGATTTGATTTTAAAAAGAAGCGCTCTCAGTCATTATAGTATTACCGCATTCTTGTGTGTGTGTGTGTATGTGATACGATTACATACAATTATCATTCTCCTGTACATCATTACTCTGTTTAACCTGTTAATATGTATTAATATTGTGTGTTGTATCTTATAAGTCGTAAGGCTTACAGAATAAACTAATTGAATTGAATTAATAGNTTTGATTTTAAAAAGAAGCGCTCTCAGTCATTATAGTATTACCGCATTCTTGTGTGTGTGTGTGTATGTGATACGATTACATACAATTATCATTCTCCTGTACATCATTACTCTGTTTAACCTGTTAATATGTATTAATATTGTGTGTTGTATCTTATAAGTCGTAAGGCTTACAGAATAAACTAATTGAATTGAATTGATACTACGGCTGCCAACCCAGTCTACGTTTTCAGACGCGCAACCGTAATTGTGTTGTATGTACAATGAGTACATATACAAATTATAACATGTGAAGCTATCAAAACAATTGTGATGTTAATTGCTGGTTGATTTTTTAACTCGTCAATTATTTTTTGAATTAAAATTCCATGTTGCTATTGAATTTGACAGGAATACGAAGCGGACGTTAAACTGTTACTTTGCTAGGGATTACTCGGATTGTCCCGTTGTGGTGGCGAGTTTCTCTACGCTCCTACAGCTGTACAACTACATGTGTGTAGAGCCAAGCAGAACAGGTATTGTTATATACACTACATCATTGGCTATATTATATGAATGGGTTAATGTTGTAATAATAAGGTACCGATGTTAGTTGTATGGTTTAATAATAAGGTAGCGAGGTTATATTAATGGTGTAATGATAAGGTAGTGAGGTTATAGTAACGGTGTAATGATAATGTAGCGAGGTTATATTAATGATGTAATGATAAGATAGTGGGGTTATATTAATGGTGTAATGATAAGGTAGCGAGGTTATATTAATGGTGCAATGATAATGTAGCGAGGTTATATTAATGATGTAATGATAAGGTAGTGAGGTTATAGTAATGGTGTAATGATAATGAAGCGTGGTTATATCAATGGTGTAATGATAAGGTAGCGTGGTTATATTAATGGTGTAATGATAAGGTAGTGAGGTTATATTAATGGTGTAATGATAATGAAGCGTGGTTATATCAATGGTGTAATGATAAGGTAGCGTGGTTATATTAATGGTGTAATGATAAGGAAGCGTGGTTATATCAATGGTGTAATGATAAGGTAGCGTGGTTATATCAATGGTGTAATGATAAGGTAGTGAGGTTATATTTATGGTGTAATGATAATGAAGCGTGGTTATATCAATGGTGTAATGATAAGGTAGCGAGGTTATATTAATGGTTTAATGATAAGGTAGCGTGGTTATATTAATGGTGTAATGATAATGTAGCGAGGTTATATTTATGGTGTAATGATAATGAAGAGTGGTTATATCAATGGTGTAATGATAAGGTAGTGAGGTTATAGTAATGGTGTAATGATAAGGTAGTGAGGTGATATTAATGGTGTAATAATAAGGTAGCGTGGTTATATTAATGGTATAATGATAAGGTAGTGAGGTTATATTTATGGTGTAATGATAATGAAGCGAGGTTATATTAATGGTGTAATGATAATGAAGAGCGGTTATATCAATGGTGTAATGATAAGGTAGTGACGTTATAGTAATGGTGTAATGATAAGGTAGTGAGGTGATATTAATGGTGTAATAATAATGTAGCGTGGTTATATTAATGGTATAATTATCGTGTAGCGAGGTTATATTTATGGTGTAATGATAATGAAGAGTGGTTATATCAATGGTGTAATGATAAGGTAGCGAGATTATATTAATGATGTAATGATAAGGTAGCGAGGTTATATGAATGATGTAATGATAAGGTAGCGAGGTTATATTAATGGTGTAATAATAAGGTAGCGTGGTTATATTAATGGTATAATTATAGTGTAGCGAGGTTATATTTATGGTGTAATGATAATGAAGCGAGGTTATATTAATGGTGTAATGATAAGGTAGCGAGGTTATATTTATGGTGTAATGATAATGTAGCGAGGTTATCTTAATGGTGTCATGATAAGCTAGGGAGGTTACATTAATAGTGTTATGATAAGGTAGCGAGGTTATATTAATGGTGTAATGATAAGGTAGTGAGGTTATATAAATGGTGTCATGATAAGGAAGCGAGGATATATTAATGGTGTTATGATAAGGTAGCGAGGTTATATTTATAGTGTAATGATAATGTAGCGAGGTTATATTAATGGTGTTATGATAAGGTAGCGAGGTTATATTAATGGTGTGATGATAAGGTAGCGAGGTTATATTTATGGTGTAATGATAATGTAGCGAGGTTACATTAATGGTGATATGATAAGGTAGCGTAATGGTGCAATGATAATGTAGCGAGGTTATATTAATGGTGTCATGAGAAGGTAGCGAGGTTATGTTAATGGTGTAATGATAAGGAAGTGAGGTTATATAAATGGTGTCATGATAAGGTAGCGAGGATATATTTATGGTGTAATGATAATGTAGCGAGGTTACATTAATGGTGATATGATAAGGTAGCGAGGTTATATTAATGGTGTGATGATAAGGTAGCGAGGTTATATTTATGGTGTAATGATAATGTAGCGAGGTTATATTAATGGTGTCATGATAAGGTAGTGTGGTTATATTAATGGTGTTATGATAAGGTAGCGAGGTTATATTAATGGTGTGATGATAAGGTAGCGAGGTTACATTAATGATGTAATGATAAGGTAGTGTGGTTATATTAACGGTGTTATGATAAGGTAGTGAGGTTATATTAATGGTGTCATGATAAGGTAGTGTGGTTATATTAATGGTGTTATGATAAGGTAGTGAGGTTATATTTATGGTGTAATGATAATGTAGCGAGGTTATATTAATGGTGTCATGGTAAGGTAGCGAGGTTATATTAATGGTGTAATGATAATGTAGCGAGGTTATATTAATGGTGTTATGATAAGGTAATGAGGTTATATTAATGGTGTAATGATAAAGTAGCGAGGTTATATTAATGGTGTAATGATAAGGTAGCGAGGTTATATTAATGGTGTAATGATAAGGTAGCGAGGTTATATTAATGGTGTAATGATAATGTAGCGAGGTTATATTAATGGTATTAATGGTCCTACAATACCGTAAACCAGAGTAATAATTGAACTGTGAAGTTATACAATAAATTTATGAATAAACATATGCTTTTCAGATATCCCACTCCGAAAAGACGAAACCAGTATTTTCCTTTAATCTCGTGCGTTCGAGTTATCACCTCAAAGGTACACAACTTAGATGCAAAACAAGGACCGCTAATGTCGGCCTTTAATTCTCGTCGAGTAGCAGTATCATATCTTTTCGCCCGAAAGGCGAGATTTCAAAAATCTAAATATTGGTTAATATATGTACAAAACATCAAGAATTAAGATTCACTCAACATAGACTTTATAGACGATTATAGAATCAACGAAATGGCAAAACTAAGCCACCGTAATTTAGAATATTTATATTCACGTACACGTTTGCTATACAAATCAACCAAATCATTTTCGATGCGAAACTTATCATTCCGTCAAATAAAAAATTAGGACAGCTTTGAATCAAACGCTCAAGTGACTCAGATTGATAAATTGACGATTTAAACACAAATATCATATTATAGGGCTCTTTTAATTTTAATAAAGGTTGTTTTTAATTCTACGGTGGCTGGTTTAGGACACACGCATGTTTAGTCACCCCTGGGGGAACCCCAGTGGGGACTATTAATTTTGGTTTCAGTCCCAGATTTTGACCTCTGTTGTCTTGGACTGTTTAAAAGTGTCTTGCTTCTGTCGGAATATACCAGGCGCTAATTACAAGCTCTTGGATAACTCAGATATCGATTTCCTAAAGGCGTTTCAAATTTCCCACGGGATTTACATATAACCTAAAGATGTTCCGAGTATGAATCAGGCACCTTTGAGGTTTCCGAAGGGGTAAACTGTCGTATTTTAAAATTGCTATTGACTGATTTAGATAGTTTATCTCTGACCAACGACTACTGTTAATATTTGCGTATAGTGCGCTGTTTTTAATGGGAAAATGAAGAACAAGAACAAGAACAATCCAAAACCCGGCAGTCCTTGGTCGCGACCACTTCTCGTAAATTTTTCGTAGATTTTCGGAAATGTTTTGAAATAAGTTATGCTCGCAGCAATAAACCTGCTAAATTCCGTTGAATAATCCCTGATTACATTGCCAATTTAACAATTAAGAAAAGCTGCAAATTTAGGTCATATAATACTATAGAATCGGATAAATAAACTCGAGTAAATTAAGTAGGCTCAACTTTTCAGGACGTTACGTTGTGAATTGATAAATACTACGTATCGGGAAACATAACAAAGAATTGCATCGCATTTATCACTCTGTGGTTAAAATGTCGTTCTTGGGTAAAATCATACTGAATTCTTCAATCTTGACCGTGGGAATGTGTCAAAACGACATGGGTAAAGTGGCGAAGTTAGCAAGTTTGTGTACCGCAAAGAGTCATGGTCGCGTTATTAAATTAACCGGCAGGAATCTACAATGTGACATCCATGCGAATTGAACCGATAATGATAAAAGTTTGAGTTTGAAAATTAAATATCAACGGGTTCAAAACAGCCAAATACATTCCGATCTTTTCTTTTCGAAGGAGAATTGCTGAAATCACAACTGTTTGGTGTGCTTCATGTCTCGCGAATTAGGCTGTTGGCGGTCCTCGTCGGAGTGACTGCCTTTAAGCGTACACATTCTGCCGATATCGATGACCGATTCAGTCGGATTTACAGACGATCAGAAAACTACTTGGAAAAGTGTATTTCATAACAAAAAATAGTAGAAGATTTCTGAAACTTATTATTGTGAAAACAACATCGCTATATTCCAATTACCTGTTCTGCCCATGCCAGGTGACCGTGTCAGCGCGGAGATCTCCCCGTATTCGAGGTGTCAGTCAACGCTAACGTTGTATTTGCGACATGCTTTCTTATTAATTCCATGTGTTGGCATGGCTACCTTAACAGCATGTATGTATTTACCCCTGGTAATTGTTTACCATTTTGATTGACAGGTGGAAATATATCCGTTGGAGCTTGGTCAATGATTTATCGGAAAATGATCGAACAGAATGATGGGGCGACTTTCATGTCATTCTGACGAGCGCTCGACTTACGATCTAAATTTAAGGAGTATAAATATAAATCATACATAATGACATGAAATTATGTTGTTTAATACTGGTTTTAATATTATTTTAGAGGTGATGTCAGTTCTTCCCTGTGCAAACATCTATGACGTCCAGATGTCGTCCTACACGTCCTACCTCACGTTTACATCGGCATTCAATACCATCATGAAATGGCCGAACGCCAAACCTTCGGACACCAGTCATATGGTTTGCTGGTAGGTACAACCGCTATATAACAGCTTTGTGTACATGTTAAATGAAGTAATCGAGTACATATGGAAAGGTAAGTGCCGACTGTGTCACTATTAATATCATTTATCATGTACAAACACAATAATTAATTATATGGACGCTGATACGTCATAAGTGACCAATTTGTTACAGTAACCCGCATATTTCCTGATTTCCTACATTCGCTCTTAAACGAAAATGTGCGACATGTCACTGTATATGTGTATGCATCTAAAACAAACGAGTTCTACTACTTCCTCTTTCCTGGGGTTTTCTCAGAAGGCTTCTGTCCGGATACTTATGAAACTTCACATAAGCATTGGTAGGCGTGTGAAGATGTGCGCAACACGTTTCATTTTCCTATATGTTGTCACACATGGTCGCAAGCGCTTCTGGTTGGTCGCATGTAAGAAACTGTAAGATTTTTCTCAAATATGATCTCTTTAATGCAACTTCCGTTCAATTATTTAGCGAGATTGATGCCTTAAGTTGGTGTCTTATTTATTAAAATTTAGACATTGTCATGTTTTTCTCAACGTTGGTATAGAGGCATTTTATGGTTGGCTCTGATGAATCATTATCAAATATGGGGCGGTTTCGGGGCTTTACGTAACGGTATCCGGTACAATTGATACTTGTTATTTCAGGGCGATGCAGAATTTCAAAGACGAAACAGGTGGTTTTATTGAGACCCACTGTTCCGCCCAGGATCGTGAAATATACGATAGATTTGTAGACATATCCGCGGAACCGTTTACAAGACAGTTCAACTGTTCTCTACAGGGAAACGACGACGGCCACTGAAACATCATAATACAACATCGACGGAGTATCCCCCTTTGTTTTATATGGATAATCTCCCTTCGTTGCTGACAATTTTTTTATCATACATTATAGTTTTTGTCTATTTCTGGAGAATATCGTATTTGCGTCCTTCTTAAAATATACATTATAATTAAAAGTTTTACTTTTAGTTATCTCATCCAAATTAGATGTAATAGACAAGACCATCAAATATTATTCCGAAACTATTGAAAATTACAAAAAAAATGTAAGTGTGCTAAAAATCTTGTTTAAAAAAGATCCATAAATTATTTTAAAAATTGGAAAACTAAGATTTTTCTATTCGTCTTTATAGATAAAAATTCAAAATCAAAAAGTATTTGTAAACCCAATTTGTGATCTGTTACACACTATCACAAGTGGAGCTAAACACGAACAAACGTCCTTGAATATACCAATATGAACATCTTCAACTGGCAAAACGAAAGTCTTCTACTAAGGTAGAAAGGTAGTGTTTTTTTTTAAACCCTGCTTAAAAGGGGTCCTGATTAGACTTGACTTGGTTTTAATATTATTAATTATTATTGATTTGGTAATAATAAATCAGATATGAAGGGATGTGAAATCAAGTGAGAATATAACAGGTTAGTCATGCTATTATGATCATATACTAGGCTTACCCGGAGACGCATAAAACCTTGAAATATACTTTCAGGCCTGGCTAATAACTGTAATCTGCAATCGGACCACGTATTACCATTTCACTGCATGTTACAGACGTTTGTGAAGGGGCTAGTGGCTATAGGTCAGTAAATCAACTCTTGGCCGCAAGAAATAATCGGATAAGAGCAAATTTATATTGACATTTTATTAAATCATTTTTCCCTCGCAACACTGCTGATTTNCGCAACACTGCTGATTGGGAGAACCTCCCAGAAGATCTCATCAAAACATCTGACTTCAAAACCTTCAAAACCTATTATCATCAATTTAAGTCCCAAACTTACTCCTCCAACTCTTAAATGATACTCGGAATCTAGGTCTACAGTGAAGTGGTAAGTGATCCGATTGTCGTAATTGTTTTAAGAGTTGTCTCCCTTGCATGTATTTTTTTTCTCAACATTTTAGAACAATTTTAGCTTGAATGCTTTCAGTGATATATTTTTTACCTTTCAAATATGTCATAGATTAATTGATATTGTCTTAAATTACACTCATAAATACTTATAAATAAAATATATCATTCTCACTTTCATGAGTCTGTTTGCTATAATATCTGTGGATTTTCTGTAAGTTTTGATGTTGGTCTATACAGGTCTATTGCCTCTCGATGTTTTGAGAGATACGAAAGTATATTCTTTCTAAGAAATAAATTACATAAACAAATGTCTCTTATCAACCTACATTTTATGCACATTTTTAAATTTTTATGATTAAGCATTTGCTGAGGTTTAAAATAAAATAAAAACACATGAACTAAAACATGTTCCATGTTAGTTTATTGACACACCAACGTTCGACCTCAAATATCATTAGAAATGTCTCCATCATATTGAAATGAAAGAAAATATAGGAAAAAGAATAATCATAACACACTCAAAAATTGATCTAAATTTGACCTGAAATTGAAATGAAAATTTCACCTGAATTCACATGAACTTTTTTTCCAGATCGATTAAACCTGAAATTGACATGAAAATCACCTAAAAAATTTCCATGAGAAGTTGACCTAAATTTAACCTGAACTTGATCTGAACTGAAGGCCAAGTTCAGGTCAGGATTTTTTTCATGTCAAGTTTACATCAAGAAATTTTGCCTGTGTACCAACCTTAAACCTTGTCCGAGTAGAAACATTAGAATTAGAGACATTACCCCCGTCTTTCAATTGTTGCAGTGATTTGACAAGGACCTTTTCAAAATTTTGATCGTGCCATTTGAACATATTTGAAGATTTATTATCAGTACAGTCAGATGAACTTTCAGAAAACATATCGGCCGTTAATCAGAAACCAAGGGGTGAAACTGACAACGGCTTGTTCAACCAACATTTAGTGACGGGTGAAATGTAACCATTCATTTCAACCGATGAAAAAAACCCGCATTTCTTTAAGATGAGATTGTTACTTTTGAATTTATTGTTCTTCATTCAATATGAACATTCGCGTTTGTTGTTGCTGTTTTAATTGATATTTCAAATGTGCATACATTATATTCTATTTAGTTAAGTAAGCTATATTAGTTTGTAATGAGAATTTGTCTCACTTAGACAAGTACTTTCAACCGAGGCAACGCCCGATGGCGAGATTATATACCTGTCGAGTGGGGACAAATCCTCACGTCAAACTAACATAGCTTACTGTACTGAATACACATTTAAACCGTTTCCATTGGGTTTTTATACGTCCGTCGAAGACGGGAACGTATTATGTTATCACGTGAGCGGGCGGGCGGGCAAACGATGTCCGCTCGATATCTCGAGTAATTATTAACGGATTAACTTCAAACTTCACAACAAGGTTAATTACCATGAAACCTCGGACAAGTTCGATAACCGCCATTATCCGACCATAATTTGTGGAGTTATGCCCCTTTATGGACTTGCCGAAACAGTGTCCGCTCGATATCTCGAGTAATTATTAACGGATTAACTTCAAACTTCACAACAAGGTTAATTACCATGAAACCTCGGACAAGTTCCATAACCGCCATTATCCGACCGAACATTTAAATAGGGCGATCGAGTTTGTAAACTGTAACCTTGATTATAGTAAAGTACTGGCAGTGCCTGTTGTCTTAAACTGACACATAGAGGCGGTTCANTCCGTCTTTTCGTATTGCAGAGTTATCTTCTCTTGTGAGCAGGTATTGATTGTTACGTCATTTGTTTGTGAGAGTAACGTCATCAATTTTTGAGAAAACAACGTTATTTTCTCACACAAACCAATGACGTAACAATCAATACCTGCTCACAAGAGAAGATAACTCTGCAATACGCAAAGACGGAATATACTGTGATTTAATGATCAGTATATTTCGCGATTTGCTCGAAAATGTATTCCTGTGACATTCAGTTGTCGTACAGTTTTCTCCAGTGGTCAGTGAAGTTGTGGTTATGCTGCGAACGTTGAATGTAGCTATTCACATACAACTTGTACAGAAAGACTGACGATATCCGACGTCATTCCCCATGCTATTTTTTTTAATTTTTTTTTTATCTCGTCCGATCTGTCTTGTACCTTTACGTGACATTTCACGGAATGTTTACACTGCGAAGTATTCATCCGCGCGTTAACTGTTTGAATTGACAATTTGCATTTTAAATGATCTGTTTAGTCGTTATATGTATAGTTTTGATGTTGTTAGATATTTGATGTTAGTAGATAAAATATAATCCGCACTGTGGAATACGTGGTAATCTATGTAAGGACGGACTATATTTTTTACGCGGAAGCATTCAAATGCAGCTTTAGTAGCGAAGAGGTCACTATCTTTTGAGGCCCATTGCGGGATGCTTATAGTTTTCAGCAAAATTGAATAGTCCTTTTCGAACTAAACGGTGCGGGAGAAAAACAACTACCCGTAATTGAGCGAGATCGGGTTATCTCAGTCTCGGGCTAAGATTCTGTAACATCCCAACCTCGGCTTACGCCTCGGTTGGGATTTTGTTACAGAATCTTACCCTCGACTGAGATAACCCGATCTCGCTCAGTTACAGGTAAAAGATTTTATTAGGACGCACAAAGATAGACAGGCGGACACACAGACAGAAAAAAATATATATATTAGATATCCTAATTAGCATGCCTTTCCTTCTCCACATACACATTCAAAGAGTGCGAACCATAAATAACAATCTCTAAAGGTATCTTGCCATTTCATTTGGCAGACAGTACTTAAGGAAAACGCGTATTGTGTTAGAATACTAAGGGATCCCAAGTAGGTTTTCAGGCAGAGGAGATTGAGGATGAGAGGTGACAGGTGGACTAGGCTAAGCGGCGTTTCTCCGACATGTCTGTGTGTATCACAGAGGTCTGTTTTACCCGCCAATACATGCCAAGCGCTGGATACAGTCTGGGAGCGATACAATGCGACACCTATACCGTCTGTTTTTGGCAGGTGCGTTTCGCATATTAACACCTGTGTGTCTTTTGATTAATAAGTATGATGTAACGGTATGTCTTTGAAACAAAAGCAGTTATTATATAAAAAAAAAACGTGGTGAGGGAAAAGTAATTATGAGTTGTATTTAGTTCGGTAAGTACTAGTGTGATGGGACTCTTTGTAATCCGACGAATGTGGAGCGGTTACAGTATTACATAACTAGCTTTCTTTGAGGCACAGACAGAACAGGAATGTAAAATACAGATGAAATTGCAGATGAAGTTAATGTTATATTTAGGCCGGCATAGTAAGAATGTTTACAAAGCAGAAAGAACTTCACTGTTCTGACCTAGAACTGTGTTTCGTGTATACGTGTATGAATATCATAGCAGAGATATCATAATCAACATCTATTTTGATACGCTGTCTATTTCATTTTTTTTTTTAAGAATGGTGTGTTCTTCGATGATATTTTTCTATGTGAAAGGTCAAGAGTTAAGAAATATCAAACGCGGGAAAGTCGAAAGGACGACGATTAAAAAGTGATAAATCTCGGGGCTAAAGACAAATAGAGGATCTGGATATTTATCACAGAAGATGCAACGGTGTCATTCACAGGGGACAGATACATCATTATAATAATATCTATTATTTCGATGACCAGTGTACACACTAATATTATTATCATAATGTTATTTGACCCCTGTGATAATTACATTGGACGTCTTTAGTCAAGTTCTCGAGGGTAGGGTAAAGGTTCATACGGAAACCTCTTCTGACCTTTGTGAGTGACCATTTTGACCTTCTGACCTTTGTGAGTGACCATTTCGGTCATTTAGACGTTACCGAGACATAACTTGTGAAGACTCGCAGTGCCTGGGGGAGATTAACGGACATATCTGTGTGTACTGTAGATAATCTACGATGGTGTTTACCAGCTGACGAAACTCGGAGTGTGGAAACTCAAAAGCTATACCATTAAATTGATATTAACACGTACATTAGGTGTATAGAGCTTAGTGGGATATTACATTATTATTATTTTGAAAGATTATTTTTTACATTTACAAAGTCGACATTAAATCAAACAGTATCACGAACATCTATTCCGGGTTACAGAAAAACAGAGATATACATTCGTGTTCGGTGTGCTGGTGTACCCTAAGGTAAGGTAAGGTGCACCTCGTCCTTGTTTTTCCATATTCAAATTCTCAGGAAAAAATCGACATCTCCCCAAAAAAAGTTTAATTTTCAAAACTATGCAGATCTATACAGCATTTCGACTAACCACAGACAGAACATGCAGAAACTACAACACTGACACATCACAAAGGGCCCCGCTATGTGTCTGACCCTTAATGGTAAATGTAACAATTATAGTGTTACATTGACATTACACTCTTAGCTATATGTTCATGAACAACTCTTGCTAATGCCCCATTAATGTCAACATTAATTGGACCACTCACGATACTACTTTATCACCATTCTTTGGAAACACGAGCTAAAAAAGTCTACAAGCATTTAGCTTGAAGACTTATTCAAGGCTAACATTAAGGAGCATACAAATTGACATAACTCAAATACCCTTATTTTAACAAGGCGAACTTCAGAGGGTTTGCTGAAGAAACACATACCAAATGTGAAGAAAAGGAATATTTCATATTTAGACTGAATGAACTACAGATTTGGTCAATTGACACCTTGTTTGATTCTGACCAACTTTGCTTCATGATGTCATACCAAAATGTTAACCAGCTAAGGGATGTAAAATTTGACCTTGACATTTGACCCAAT